ATAAAGGTTCGGAGCACACTGGCTAAGAGGCAAAGTCCTGAGCAGAGACAAGTTGTTCTTGAATGATCTTGCATAGTAACTGAACGCACAGTATCATGCGGGACTAGAGATTGGAGGCTGTATTTGCCTATTTTTGAGTACAAAATCGGTCTAGATCTCTGAGGTGGAGTCGGACTGTTCTTGGAGAGCAGTGCCGGGAGCGAAAGACAGGAGTTGATTCTACGAGCCAGTGAGGGAGGCGGAGTTGGGATCAGGTTCATGAGCCTACAAAAGGTGGAATCAAAGCCTATACGTAAGGTTCGAAGCGGGTTCGTTAGTGTGTGGGAGGCTACAGTGCGAGCAGTGTAGGAGATCAACAACAAGATCTAGAACCTCAGAGAAGATCACACAGAACTACGCAAGGAGCGAACACCATACTCTTGATTAGACGGGTGAATCGTACAAAGTCGTACGCTTGGAAAGTGCACAAGTACCCAGGGATGACGGGCGAGCCGAGTGTACTCGATGCAGGAGCGCATGCTTGTCGTGCAGAAGCTAAAGAAGTATGAGGCACAAACGTGCTAATTATGGATTGAACGAAGAGGGACGCAAGTGGACGTGTTATTTAGAATGTGTGGGAGCCTGAATTAGAGTTGTGAATTGGAATGCATAGTGGAAGCAGTTCATGAGCGGGATTGGGCTCGATTTGGCAGGTTAGCTCGTAGAGTTAGTGCAATGAGCACATAGGTGATTCTTTGATCGCAAAATCAGACCAAGGCGGAGATTGTTGTGTATTTATCCGATTTGAAGTTAAATTGTTTTTACAAGACACCGCACCATGCATATATCCTTATAAATAATTTTATATGTTGATGTATTGTGAACCCCCATAAGCTCCAAGATGAATTAATAAATTCCTCTCCCATTTCCCTGCCTCTCTCTCCCTCTCTCTTGCATTCAAGAATTCCTCCATGTTTCACAAATATAAGGCACAATCTTTGGTGTTATTGTGTTAATGTGAACGAGTAATGTGACGTCTTAAGTTTGGTTTGAGACGATTTTCTTATTGCTTTCTAAAATGGCTTTTCAGAAAAAAAAAATTGAATTAGAAATTTTATACTATAAAACTATTTTATAAAATATGAAAAAAGCTATCACAAACAAAACCTTAATCTTGCTACGCTTTTATCCTAAAATTTTGGTTTCGTCTTCTTGGTATTAATATTGCAGAAAATACTTAGTGTTGGAAGCAAAAATCCATACATAATAAAAGATACGGAAACTAACAAACACTTTATCATAATTGTAATAGTTTTATACGTAATAAATTCTCTTTTTTTTTTTTTTTTTTGAATGATCTAACAAGGAATAAACATTGGTTCTATTTTATGTAATTCTTGGAGCACTATAGTTAAACTTTATTAATTTTGTTTGTAGTGCAAGTACTATATTAATTTTTGAAGGAATATACTGACAAGTAATATAATATTTATGCTTGTAATTATGAGGAATTTTAATTACATCACAATCATATTTAATTCCCATAATATTACAAAATAATTGATGACATATATTATTTATGATTAATAAATATCCACCCCTATAATTTAGGGCATATTTAGTATTTACACATATCTCTTTATACAATAGACAGAATATGATAAAAACATTCATATTTTCTTAACGTTGGAGTTGCCTCAAATTTGGCTTAACCCTTGTTTGTTCATGTCCGTGATCATTGTTCACTCGATAGATGTGTCGGGGGTCCAAAGGGGCAGCACCCCCTTGCGGGGTTCGATCTTCCCGGTCAGGTCGCGGGATCAAAGGGCAGCGCCTCTACGGGGATTTTCTATACTCCGCCTTTTGTTTATTCATGTGACGTTTTTTATACTCCGCATTTTATTTTTTCTATAGTGTAGTCGTCCTCCTCCCCCGCAACTTTTTTCAGCTTTGGGCTTTCCACGTAAATCTTCTATGTTCGTTTGTGTTTCGCAACTTGTGATTTACTACTTCTCTTTATGTTTGTTTTGTCGTACCCAACACTTAATATAGTATTAATTTATATTTTCTATACAATGATTGATATAGCTATTAGACTTAACAATTTTTGGGCTAATTAAATGTAAACATACACTCGCAACACATATGCAAGCTTCAAAAATAAGATCTAATTGATAGTCTAAATTCTCAACCAACAGATTAAGATGACCTGCATTGCTCAACAAATTTTAAAACCAAAAGAGATAAGAGCAAAATGAATGAAAATTTTATGAAAAGAAACCAAGTAGATGTGGCAATCATACTGTCTTCTCTTTTATTTCTCCAATTTTCTGTTGTTCTAAAGAAAAACTTACCATATTGACACCTAAAAAGAGAAATGATAAAAAACTATGCTAATTTCTGACCAGATCTACTTGACCAGATACAAAAATCATTTTTTTTAATTTTAATTTATTAGAAGACTATTAAAATTCAATTATTAAACTCACATCAAACCAAAGTTAAGGCAAACCATATATGGCTTTTTCCAGCAAGTAATTCAAATCAAAATTTATATAGATGAGAAAATGCTTCATTTGACAATGATGTGTTACATATATGCTTAATTAAATAGATACATTTATCATTTTTCTATTATAGATGAGAATTTTTCTTGATAAATTTTTCTTTTTTAATTGTGAAGTTTGTGGAGAGATGATGCAAAATATGAGTAGATGAAAGGGGAATGGGTAGGAAGATGGAGAGACGAGAAAAAGGAAGAATCATATTAAAGTTTTGTTTGGGATGATTTTTTAAATGTTTCATAAAATAATTTTTTAGTTAAAAAATTAATTTTTTACTAAAAAATTAGTTTAAGAAATAGTAAGAAAGTCATCTCAATCAAAGCCTAAGAGGAAGAAGGATAGCTAATTGTTAGGATTAGCTGAAGATGAGAATGACATATTATGGGGTGGTATTGATTTATGTGTCTTTTGGATATTTTATCAGATAGTGAAAATGTTTTGGAGCAAAACTATAGGTAAAGTTATTATTAGTAGTTAATACATAAAACCATCAGAAATATTTTCACAAGATAAAGTGCCGATCTGAATACTCATAATGATTTTCACTTCTTCGATCCTTGGGATCTCCATCTTCAAAGTTCCTCTAGCACAGGACATGATTTTTTTTTTTTTTTAAGGAAATTTCATATAAATAAAAAGATGAGGTTACAACCAGCTAGAAAATAGTACGAAAAAGTTGCAGAGAAACAAATGGAGAGGAGTGAGAATCATCGGGCTCAGCAAAAGGCATAGACTTCCAACCAATCCCAAGCCAGGCCCGGGCCATCCAGTTTGGAAAGAGTAGCCAATCAAAACGAGCACGCAACACCAAAGGTTGCCAAAGAGAGGGAAAACCCCTAAAAGACGTCTGTTTAAGATCCGAAAAATTCCCTGAAGAGCTTCCCGAAAGGGCTTCAATGAAAGAGCGAGAATCGGATTTTCGATCAAGAAAACCCGGATCGGCGAACTTAACCACCATGAGGCGGAGAAACAGAAAAAACAAAACCAGAAAAGAGAGTCAGAAACACTTCCCTGGCAGAACGAGCCGGTGGCAAAGGGAGGCGCCCCCAGGCACGGGGCGCACAAAAAAAAAAAAAAAAACCCTAACACACAGGACATGCTTGCTACAATTTAATACATCTCTTTCTTGTGCAATGTAGCAATTTAATTTTGATGTCTTTTGGCATTGACACTGTCTTTTTCATTTTGGGGGTTATTCCATGAAGCAATCAAGTTATGGCTCGTGTACTCTAACTTGGTTTATTATTATTTAATATAAGCAAGTTTTAGCTTATTATTCTAGAAATCCTAGAAGAATTCACCATCATTTCTATTAGGGCTGTCAAATTAGGATCACGGGTTGGGTTCGAGTTCAATCTGAAATTGACCCGTCACTGTTCGATGCGACCTGAACATGGCCCATTTTAAAAATGGGTCAGTTTTTTGAACCCGAATTTGCCACGCCAAGTGCTAACTCTATGCATGAGTTCATCATCAAAGGAGGTTAGAGGCGTCTAGGGCTTGCTTTTTTATCTTCTCTTTTTCGTCGTTGATGTAGAGATTGCATGAGTTGTGTTATAACATTTTGATAGGAAGTAACAACGGGAGTTCGCTCGCTCTGAAGGTAACTTTCTCTGTTTCGTGCGCCCGTAAATATGCCGAACTATAGGACTCTGGGTCAAAATCAGGTTATTCTTCGGTTTCCGGGTCAACCCGAACCCGACTCGAATTTCGAAACGGGTAAAAAATTAGAACCTAAATCTGACTCGTTTCAAATTCGGGTTGACCCAAACCCGAAAAATTAAGGTCAGATTCGAGTCGGATTTTCGAGTCATGCCAATTTTTGACACCCCTAATCTCTATAAAAAAAAATTATTTTTTTTCACATTTTTTTGTGCATTTCACAAATCAAATACTCTTCACTCCTTGGTATCAATACTTGATCATATCATTTGAAGATTAAAGCTTTGTTTAAAACGATTTTTTTAATGTTTCTTAAAACAGCTTTTTAATACAAAATTTCAAAATTTTGTACAAAAAAGTTGCTTTAAGAAGCTATAACAAAGCCGTCCCAAACGAAGCCTAATTTATCCCAAACGAAGCCTAATTTGACCGTTTCAACCCAAACTAGATGTTTAGTTGCTAGAGCATTTATGTAGAAACTTCGTGATATATATTATCTATTTAAATCCCCATATTATAATTAGTTTCATGTTTGCAATTTTTTTTAACTTCTATCAAAATGAAGATAAGTCTTAATTTTTAAATGAATAAAACCAACAAAATGCATAGGCATACCAAAGGTAGCGAGTTGTCGAACACCACCTGCGTCCTGCTCCTCTCCCCTGATAGTACTCCTCATTTCCTCGACTCCGTCAGGACTCAGACATAAAAACAAACGACTGCGGGTAATGCACGTAAACAAGCCCGCTACAAAACCAAAACCCCACGTTCTCCTTCCACCATTGATGACCAACCATGCCAAATCTCTCCACCTCCCAAATCCCACCACTCCTCCTCCTCCTTCTTCTACTACTCACCACTCCTTCCGCCTCCAACGCCGCCACCGACACTTCCGCGGCCGTCGACACCCTCACCCTCACCTCCCCCCTATACGACGGCCACACCCTCCTATCTCCTTCCAAAACCTTCGCCCTCGGCTTCTTCACTCCCACCAACTCCAACTCCGGTCGCCGCTACATCGGCATTTGGTACCACAACATCCCCAACCAAACCGTCGTATGGGTCGCCAATCGCCGAAACCCTCTCATCACCCCAAACGGAACCCTAAGCCTAACCCCAAATGGAACCCTTCTCATCTCCAGCGCAAACCCAAACTCCTCCATCTTCTGGTCATCCAAGCCCGGACGGGCTGCCATCGACCCTGTGGCCCGACTCCTCGACTCCGGCGACTTCATCGTCGAAGACAAAGACGGGTTCCTATGGCAGAGCTTCGATCACCCGACGGATAAGCTTCTTCCCGGTATGAAGCTGGGTTGGGATATCGCCAGTGGGATTAATAGAAATCTCACGGCGTGGGCGAGCCCGTATGATCCAACGCCGGGGAAGTATAGTTTGTTCATCGACCCGCGGGGCGACCCGCAGCTTGTTCTTGCCGATGTGGGTAATTGGGTTTGGCGTGGCGGGCCGTGGAATGGCCTTAGCTTTTCGGGCTGCCCGGCGGAGGCTTCGGCTGGTGCTACGCTGGGCTTTGGGCTTAGATTCGTTTGGAATAAGGCGGAGATGTCGTATATGTTCGACGTCGCCGATCGGCCTGCGCTCTCCTATGTTTACGCTGATAGCGCCGGCGTGGCGGCGCGGTATGTCTGGCTTGGCAATGAGACGCACATTGGGATCATTCATGAAATGATATATCATGTAAATATGAAATTACTCTTCACTTCAATTAAAAAGAATACCGTTATGAAGTATATAATATAATTTTGCATTTATGCAAGAATGATGAAAATGTAGTAACTAGACGGTCTTGGTAGAACGACGATCGGCTGACACATGTGGGGTGATGATAATCGAATAATAATGATTTGATGATAGCAATTGGATGATGTTGGTCAAGTGATGGAGAATGAATTATGATGATTGGGCAACGGTGGACAAATATCGACATTCAAGAGAGGGTTATTCAATTATTAAAGTATGACGATGTGATTAGACGGTGATGATGGGTTCAATGACTGTCAGCATCAATTTTTTGGTAGAATTTTAGAATTCTTTAGATCTCAACCCTCTATTAAAACTTATCCGTTTATAGTTTTTTTGAAGTGACATTTTAGTAAAGTTAAACAAATTTTCATAATGTTTCATATTAACCATTTGATCTTAGGCTGCTTAGTTAGCATTTAGGTGTATTCATGATCTCAGAATCAAGTGATCATCGTTGGCATATTGAATTTCTCTCATTGAGCTACTTGACTATAAATATGAAAATTTTGAATATTTTTTGTTTATTCATTAAATACTATGAAGTTTTCAACTTGCTTTTAAGTGCTTGATTTTAACTCATTTGTGCTCAAATGGAAGACACTCACTATGACTATAAATTATCCCCTTTTTCGTTCTTTTTTTTTTTTTTGGTTCGTATAATTCAGCCATTCGGGCAGATCAAAATCAAATCCCAGTTTGGAAGCATAAGGTGGAACATTAGAGGCCTTAAATTAAGATCAAAATATCAATACATAAATATCATAAATTTGAAAGTTTATAGATACAACTAATATATTAATAATTCTGACTCCTCTTTGGAGTTTTTCTTCTTCTTTTTTATAATCTCACTAACAGTTCTGCAAATTTTTCTGTGATCTTTTTTTTTTCTCTAAGCTAAATTCCAAACAAATTTATCTTCGAAATTCTTTTTAGCTTTAGAATTCACATCTTGAAATTCCTTCCTAATTTTAACAAGGTGGAACCTCTACTGGGAAGCTCCGCAGGACCCCTGCGACTACACCGGCGTCTGCGGCTCATACAGCATATGCAAGGCCAACAACACCCCGCTCTGCAGCTGCTTAACTGGTTTCACGCCGTCGGATCCGGCCAGCTGGGCTTTCAGAGACGGATCCAAAGGTTGCAAGCGAACCACGGGCTTGGATTGCACCAACGGCACTGATGGGTTTCTTGTGATTGACGGAGCGAAGCTGCCGGACACGGCGGAGGCGACGGTGAACATGAGCAAGGGACTGGATGAGTGCAGGCAATGGTGTTTGACGAAATGCTCCTGCGCGGCGTACGCGAGCGCGAGCGTCAGCGCTGGCGGGGTTGGGGTCGGATGCGTTATATGGAATGGGGAAGTAAGGGATCTCAGAGTGTTTGCGGAAGCTGGACAGAAGCTGTTTGTGAGGTTGGCTGCCGCTGATATGCGTAAGTTTTATCTATTTTTAATTTAATTATTTTAGTTGAAATACTCTGATTTAAATTTGATTAGAATGATTTTTTTATCTATTAAATATATTTTGAGATAAATATATTAATTAATCAATTAATTAGCCATATAATTTACTTATCTTAATATATATACAATGCTTAGAAAATTCATTTTTGATCAAATTTAGACTAGATAATATTACCCAAAATTGTTTATGTTCTGTGTTCATTTAGAAAAATGATAATAAATATTATGATAAAATTTAATCAGAATTTTTTCTTAATTATTAAATTTATTTTGAGATTAATTTAATATATAACTAATCAATCAAAATTTATATTATATTAATCTCAATATATATTTTAAGCTTTTAGAGTAAAACTTCATTTTCAAATAAAAGAAATATATTTTACTTGGCTCAATCATATATTTATTATTTACCATATAAATTTTTTTTGCATGCTCTCTTTTATTTAGTCAAATAAATGGAAAAAAATCATAATTAAAATTTTGATTAAAACAAATTTTAAAACACTTAAATATTCTTTAAAATTAGTGCAATACATTAATAATTAATATTACAAAAATCCTGAAGTAAATTTAAAGGCTGTCAGCTTCATCTTAATTTTTTTTAATATAGCACAGAATTATTTTAAAATGTATATTTAATTCTAACTATGCATAATAAAATGACAAAATCAAATAAATTTAGATATCTTAACGTACCTTTTAACTTCATGCAAACAAATGAAAAAGTTCATAAGTTATTAGGAATTTATTTCCTCTTTTTAGCTTCGTTTGGCAAAGCTTTCTTTCTGTTTCTTAAAGAGATTTTCTAGTACAAAAAGCAGTAAAAAAATCATCCCAAACAAGCCTTCAACACAAAATAGCATCCTATCCTAATTCCTAACACTTTCTTTTTTTCTATCTTCTAGCTATTACAGCAAATAAACGCTCTCCAATTAGTACCCTGACAATATTTGAGATAACGATCTGTTGTATCTCTGTTGCTGCGTTGAGCATCGCAGTGATGCTCTGTATTTGGAAATATAGGAGCAAAAGGAAACAAAGCACCTGCATATGTGGTAGCTTTCTATCTTTTGAAATTTGCGTGTGCTGTAATTTTGTTTATAGTCATAATTACCTATATAATCTTTTCACTGCAGCTCATTTAGATGACAGCGTCTACAAGAAAGTTAATACTGGAGAAACAGAAATAGCTGAGCTTTTTCTTTTTGAAATGGATATCATCAAAGCTGGAACCAACCATTTCTGCAACGAAAACAAGCTTGGAGAGGGTGGATTTGGTCCTGTTTATAAGGTAATTACAGTTTTTTTTTAGTTGAATGGAGTCCTGTTTATAGAGAACTACTTTGATTCATTGATGAATATGATATTTCTGTAGGGAAAACTTTGTGAAGGGCAGGAAATAGCAGTAAAAAGGCTTTCTAAGACATCAACACAAGGGATTAATGAGTTTAAGAATGAGGTGACTTTGATTGCAAAGCTTCAACATAGGAATCTGGTTCGCCTTCTAGGTTGTTGCATTGAAGGAGAGGAAAGGCTGATAGTATATGAGTACATGCCGAATAAAAGCTTGGATGTATTTCTATTTGGTTGGTAGTAAACCCCTCTTGCGTTAGATATATTAAAATCATCTACGGATTCGTCTGTTACAGTTTTCTTATTGCTTTATAAAATAGTTTTTTAGAACAAAGGTTTCGTGAACAAAAAATTTGTGCTAAAAAGTTACTTTAAAAATCAATAAGAAAGCTGTCACAAATGAAGCATAAATCTATTTTCAAATATCTTAAGCTTCATTTGGGACGGCTTTTTTACTGTTTCTTAAACCGACTTTTTTGTACAAAAAATTTAATTTTTATACTAAAAACTCATTTCAAGAAGCATTAAAAAGGCCGTCCCAAACGAAGCCTTAATCAATTGATTTTTTATCCATTTAGATTGGGTTTTGTTTACTAGTGGATAATTATATAGTTTTCCTTAAAGTTTAACTAATGAGTACAGCTCTTTTTCCCCTATAAAAGGATGTTATAGGCCAAGTGATGCTTGAATCTGAGTATCATTGGAATTTTTGCCCACTCTTTCAATTTTTCTTATTCTCTTTGCTAATTCCTAAAACCCTAATTATGAATCTCTTTTGTCCCCTCTCAATAACTCAGCTCATCCTTCACAATTCTCATGAAAATCAAGTGATTTAAAGTTCTGCTCTTTTATGCTTAGATTTTCTATCAAAACTTCGACTAATTTTACTGACAAATAGAATCTTCTTCAAATTGCATGCTATTTGATGCTTGTTAGTATCTTTCTTAATCCATGTCTTCCATCAAGTAATTCAATCTCTCTGATCCAGATAAACAGAGATGTGTTCTGCTGGACTGGCAAACTCGTTATCGCATAATCTTAGGCATTGCTCGTGGATTGCTCTATCTCCATGAAGATTCAAGGCTTACAATTATACACAGGGATCTCAAGGCTAGTAACATTCTTCTTGACAATGAGATGAATCCAAAAATCTCAGATTTTGGGATGGCAAGGATCTTTGGTGGACATGAGACAGCAGTAAATACGGCCAAAGTAGTTGGTACATAGTAAGTTAATTCTCTATGTTAATGAACTTTCGGCTTCGTTTGAGACGTCTTTCTTACCGCTTCTTAAATCAGCTTTTTAGTACATAAATAAAAAATTTTGTACTAGAAAGCTGCTTTAAGAAGCAACAAAAAAAATGTTTCAAATGAAACCTTGATCAAATAAAATATGCAAATATATCTATAAATTTTATGACTGATCAAATAAAATATGCAGCGGATACATGTCTCCTGAGTATGCAATGGATGGCATCTTCTCCGTTAAATCAGACGTGTTCAGCTTTGGAGTTTTGGTATTAGAAATCATAAGCGGGAGGAGAAACAGAGGGATATATACCATTGAGAAACATTCAAACCTTGTTGGGGAGGTATGAAAAACTATAGCCAAGAATTTACTTCACATACTCATTGCCTTTCCATATATTTTACTAGATTTGCCAGTTACAGCAGCCTAAGAAACTTTCAGGCATGGAGCTTATGGAATGAAGAGAAGGAGCTGGAACTCCTTGATGATTCCATTAGGCATTCAATCTCAATGATAGAGGTTTCCAAATGTGTAAAGTTGGCTCTCCTTTGTGTTCAGGAACAACCAGAAGATCGGCCATCAATGTCCTCTGTTGTTCTTTTGTTGTGCAGTGATATTGCTTTATTGCCAAATCCAATACAACCTTGTTTTTTAACACCTAGGAATTCGATTGGTGAACCGGGGAGAAAGGATTCAGGAACTTCAAGTGATATCACATGCAGTATTGAAGGCCGATGAGTACGAAGTAGAAACTATCCATTTTATTGTTGATAATTATTTTGTAACATAGGCGTATGAAATGTTGATGAATACTCTATTCTTGCAAAGTTGGTTCTCGATTTGTTTGTTTATCTCTTATGTTTTTGAAAGACGAGGAATAGAGACAAAACACTTGAAAGGGTAAATAAGAATTGAATGTGGTGAGAGTGAGATTATGGCTTTGCTTGGGACGGCTTTTTTATTGCTTTTTAAAATTTTGCATTAGAAAGTTGTTTTAAAAAGCAATAAGATAGCCATCCCAAACGAAGCCTATGTCTTGAAGCTCTATTGATGTTATGGGAGGGATTAGTGAAGAAACAACTAATAAGTAATAAGGATTCTAAAAAAAAGGTGTAAACGCAGTTGAAGAATATGAGCTTTAAGGAATGCTGGAAATCTGTGCATTATTCGAATGTGTACAGCGAGAACAGAAGATCAAATAAAAATCAAGAGAGAAATAGAACAAACCAAAGATAATGAGACTTTAAATTCAAAGAAAACCTAGGTGAAGTACAATTAGCAAACCAAATAACAAGTAACAAGAATGGAAATTGAAAAAAAGTCATAGCATTAATTCTAAAAAGTTGGTTAATCATAATAATTTGATAGAAGCAAACAACTGAATTTAATAACATCCAGTCCAGGCCCTGGTTTTAGAATCTGTTCAGATGATGCACATTACAAAATATAAGGATTTGTGTTGGGCATTTTCATTTTGAATATTAAAACACCCACACTAACTCTCTCTCTCTCTCCCTCTGTCTCTCTTTCTATCTCTCTCTCTCTAGTATATGACTAATTTAATCTCAGAGTCATATCGTTTGAATTTAAACCTTCAGCTATTCAAAATTGATCTAAAATGGTACCTTTAGGACTAAATTGGGATCAATTGTATATCATATTTACAGCAGAAGGAACTATTTTGGATCAATTTTATATAATGAGAGACTAAATTAAAACAATGTAATACTATGAGACTAAATTGACTACACACGAATAATCTGAAAACTATTTTGAAATTTTTCTGTATATATATACAGACAGGCATGCATGGGCAGAAAGAAATTCCGATTCTCTGAAAAAGAAAAGGAGTATTTGTAATTTGTTTATAATTTGTAATTACATTTGATTAGAACTCCTACAAATTCTAGAGAAACAAGTAATCATTTTTTTTATTAAATAAAAGAATGCTTAGCACATGGATAACAGAATAGCAACCTTGCTATTTGCTAGGTTGTGAAAAGCAGTTCTAAATATAAAAGCCTAACAAGGATAAAAGCCTTAAGAGAACTCTAAAAGAACCTTTCTGTTAGCAGTCAAAGACCCTTTGAAGTAGCCAAAATTTTCCTGCTTCTTCAGGAAAAAGGAGTCTGAATGAATCCGCTAGTATCAACAAAAGAACCAATGCTGTCAACAATATTTACAGCAGGCAAGATTGTGGTTAGCCACTCTATTTTCCATGGTCGGAATGCAAGAAACTTTCATACTCAGTTCCTTCAAGTGATTGGGAAACGACATCCCAGTTCTCAATCTGATCTGATAATGGTCTTGTATGGATTTTGACATGGCGGCTTTTAAGCTCTCTTTGTGGCATTCTTAGGAAGTCAAGAACGTCCACTAATTTCTACAGGGATTGAAAGACATATAATTTACATCTAGGATGGTAGAACATTGAACATATTGTTAATGCAACAGTTGAAAGAAATTCTCATGCAATATATGTAGATCACTAAGGCTTCGTTTGGGATGGCTTTCTAAAAAAGCTGTTCCAAACGAAGCCTAAAACACTAATCATCAGATAAAATACAATCTGCAATTTGAAATTTGTAAAACCATCAAAAGTAACTGAATAAATCATAGAAGACATACTGTTCGATTAAGAATGAGATCCTCATAGTATAAGATAATGTGCCTGGTGCCATTGAAATAGTGAAGAGCATCTGCACACCATTTACTAGTTTGTTTGAAATCTACAATGAGCTTATTCACATCAATCAAGGGCTTATATCTTGCAAGAATGTCAGCCTGCATTGCAAGATGAAGCAGATTTAGAAACACTCACATTACCGATAAGTTTATGTTTTGATATCTCAAAAGAAAAGCTCTAATACAGATGGAAGAACCAAACCTCGTGTCGTGAATGCACATGAGCTTTATGAGTTCCGTTCAATTGCTTTGCTTCTCGGTCATGAGAATTTGCTAGAATTGAGACCCACCGACGAAGAAGATTTCTTCTAAGAAGGAATATAGCAGAAACACCTCTATTTTGGAAATATTCAACTATGCCCTCATGGTTCCTCATCAGACCCTGTAGCATTCATAGCAATTGGATAAAAGAGGGTAAAGAATATACTAGATCAAATTTTAAGCATGGTATAAGATTAAAATCAGATAATGTCATTCAATCAACATGCCAGCAAGAACAATATTTCCGTTTTCATAAGTGCATCTAAATTTAATTATAACAAAATTATTGACGTTACTCTCAGCTAGCTTTCAAATTTGAAGTAATGGTATCTTACCAGTAAGGTTTCTGAAAGCAACTGCTCATTATAACTATCCAAGTTTAATCATTCCCAAATGGCCAATCCAACTTGATGACATAGACAAACTAGCTATACAGATTTTCTCCTTAGGGGCTGTTTGATTTGAAGTAAAGTGGATGTTAAGTAAATCATTTATATGAGTTTTGAAAACATTGATATTTAGTTGGATGAAAAAGAAAAAAAAAATGTACTGTAAGTTCATTTTTAAGATAAAGTAAACACGCCCAACTTTGAGCAAAAATTATTTTCACCGTAAGCAACCTCTCTTACTGTGAGCCACCCCCCACCCCCCGTCACCGAGTGTTGACCACTGCCACCAGTCACCGAGTGCTGACCACTGCCGCCAGGCACCACCGCCATCCTGTGCCGACCAGGACCACAACCTCAGTCGGCCATGAACACCACCCACCCACCAACAATGTCACCCACCGACGCCACCATCTTCGAACTTTACAGTACATTCATTTTACTTTAAACCAAATAAAAAAAATATTTACTTTCATTTATTTTAAACTCATCCAAACAACACCAAAATATCCATTTTACATTAAATTCCTTTTGCAGCCAACCAAACAACCCATTAAAACAAATTGATGGTGGACTTTATGGTTTAGGCTTCGTTTGGGATGGCTTTCTTACTGCTTCTTAAAGCAGCTTTTCAGTATAAAAATTAAAATTTTTATACTAAAAAGCTGGTTTTAGAAGCAGTAAGAAAACTGTCCCAAATGAAGCCTTAATCTGAATATAGATTTAAAGGAAGGATAGCATGCATATGAACAAATTTTGGCAGCATCTTGATGTTACATCTTATTAAATAAATGTGATGTGGTTGTGGACCTCACCTGCTCAGCAGAAGTCTTGGCTCTTGTTTTGTGGGTCCCAGGACCTCATTTCAGACCTATAGAAGGAGAAGGAATAAGGGGAGATCATTGCAGAAAATGTGAGGTGCATATATAATGGGGTTTTAAGGGGGAAAGTTTGTATAAGAGGGAATTATGTGAAGAAATTTCTGGAGTAGTTTTCTTGGCTGTTTTGGGTTCCTAGTTGCTGCTATGAATTGTGGGAGAGACAATTTACCTCTCGAATAGTGAATCAACTTGTATCTTATATTGTTTTGCATGGAGATTAGTAATTACAGCTCTTTGGTGTTATTTCTGGATTTATTTGGATTAAGCTTGCTATTTTTATATTGTTGTGTGTTGTTTTGGTCATCAAATCCTATCAAATTGGTATCATAGCCGAGTGAAGACGGAGAGGTGAAAATTTAAGGAGAGGGAATACCCCACCTTGAACCTCTACCGAAAAGGGGGATTGATAGGGAATATGGAGGTAGGAGGGAATGAGAAGAAGAGAACAAGCTGGATGAATTTGAAGGAAGAGGTGGAAACGACAGGAGAAGGGAGGAGAGAGAACCGTGGAGAGACCCCAATTGCTCTTTTCATAGGAGGCATGGGGGTGGAAGGGAAAATTGGGGCGGAGGAGATCCAAATGTCAGGAAGCTGAAAATGTTGGTGTTTGAAGGCAAGGATACGCATAGGTAGATCTATAGAGTGGAGATATATTTTACGGTGAACGGTAGGGATACAAACGAATCGAGCTGAACCGAGCTTCAGCATGTTCAAGTTTGAGCTCGTTTGTCAAGACCCTGTTCAAGCTTGGCTCGATAAGATTCAAGTTTTTCTAACCTATGTTCGAGCTCAAGCTCGTTTAGAAAAGGCCTGTTCGAGCTCAGCTCGTGGTCATGTTCGAGCTTGGTTCAATTTAGGCTTGTCGAGCCGCTCGTTTAGCTAATTAACGAGCCCGTTTAACAAAATAAAATTTTTAATTAAACAACTAGCGGTCTATTGAGTTGCTCATTTAGCCGGCTTGCTCTCTCGCTAAAGACAACCAGCTGCCAGCCTAGCAATAATTGCTTATATGTTTTAAATTTTATAGAGCAAAATCTAAGAAGCTCAATGCCGATGTTGGACTAAACCACGGAGGGGAGAGAAAAGAAGAGGCGCTGACTGAGGTGGCCACGGGAAATGTTAAACTGTATAGCGTGAAGCAGGAAAATAGGGGAAATCAAGTATTTATTTAATTTTTTCTTGGTATTGCCAATGCCGAGAATCCAAAAAATGGAAGAGAGGCTGAGCGAGCATCCAAAAATAATATTATTATCATGCTAGTATTTATTTAAAAATACTAACTATAGTTACTACTAATAATATATATTTTTACTAATAATAATAATAATATCATTGTTAATATTTATTTAAAAATAAATTATTAAATTAGTTAAATTAATTTAACAATATTTATTTTTAAAACTATTTATTTATTTCAAGCTAATTCGAGCCGAACACAAGCCTTAATCGAACTCTAATCAAACTTCTTAACGAGCTTGTTCACGAGCTTTAATCGATACTGTTCATAAATATAAACGACCCGAACGACAAGCTATTCAAGCTCAATTATTTAACTATCAAATATTAATCCAAAGTGTTCAAACTCATTCACTTAGCTTATCAAATGAACATGAACAAGCTCTTATCAAGCTGAGCCACGAGCAGCTCGTCGAATACTTGGTTCACTTACAACCCTAGTGAATGAGTTGGCGGAAGGGGAGAGGCTTATGGTAGTGACTCTATGTCTCGAGGAGAAGGCACTGACATGGTACTAATGGAGGGGAATGAGATACCCGATCCGTTCGTGGGAAGATTTCAAAGATTGTTTATTGTAGCACTTTTGAACCAAGCAGGAGGGGGACTATTATGAGCAGTTCTTTGCTTTGATACAGGTAGGAACAATGATGGAGTACCGGGAGAAATTTAAGCTTCTGTCAGGATGTTTAGGGAGACTACCGAAGACAGTGTTAGAAAGCAATTTCATGAAGGGGATCAAACCATAGCTGAGAGCCGTTGTGCGTGTGGCAAGACTCCGTGACTTAGGAGAGGATATGGAGTTAGCTCAATTGATACAAGACAAGAACTCGCTTGAGAGGTGGTAACAAAGGGGGGAATTTAGAGGTTCTTACCACACGACGACCACCTTCCTTACACCTAGAGTGTCGACTGTATCAGGTCAAAGGGAAGCTCCAAAGGAGAAAGGTTTGGAGCTCGACAGGGAGGGAAATTTAAACAACTAACTAATACGGAGCTGCATAACAAACAGGCTAAGGGGCTATGTTTTATGTGCGACGAGAAGTTTACATCGGGCCATAGGTATAAAAATCACACCTTGCAAGTCCTTTTTGTTTGTGATGAGGAAGAGACGGACGCAACGGAGGCAGAAGGAGAAGTGGTGGAGAAAGAGGAGCACTTACACTTGGAGGTAGCAGAGGTTTTGTTGAATTCTATAGTGGGATTCACCCTGAATCACACTATGAAGATGAGGGAACATATAGGTGGGAAAGTGGTGGTTATTTTGATGGATAGTTGGACTACCCACAATTTCAGATCGAATCATGTCATTGACAAGCTGGGGCTGAAGCTAGTAGACACGGGATACTTTAGGGTGATGATGGACACAATGAAGGTAGAGAAGAGCAGGGGAGTCTGTCAAGGATTGGTGGTGAAGTTATAAGGGATTTGCATCATGGAGGATTTTCTTCCACTGGAGTTAGTTGGGAAGTACAAATTTGATCTTGGGTATGAAGTGGCTACAAACCTTGGGGGAGACCAAGGTTGGCTGGAAGGCCTTATCTCTGGAGATCTAGGTGGAGGGGAGAAAGGTGGTGATTAAGGGTTATCCAAAGAAATGATTTCCCTGAAAAAACCATGGTGCGTGTCATACAGGGTGAAGGAGTGGGGTTCTTGGTGGAGATCCAAAACTTGGAGGGAGGAGACACCAGAGAGATAGATGTCATTCCAAAAGTAATTCCGCGACTTCTCCACCAATTCAGTGAGGTATCCAACCTCCCCGAGGATTGCCTCCTTTACAGGAGCACGAGCACGCTATTATTCTGAAGAAAGGAGTCTCTCCCATTAGTGTCCAACCATATCGCCACCCATAAGTCCAGAAGGATGAGATAGAGAGGTTGATTCGAGAGATGCTTGAAGCTGAGATCATCAAGCCCAATGTTGAGTCCTTTCTCTAGTCCTGTGTTACTGGTGAAGAAGAAGGATGGTAGTTGGAGATTCTATGTAGATTATCGTGCCTTGAACAAAGAGACTATTACGGACAAGTTTCCCATACAAATCATTGATGAGCTGCTAGATACGTTGTATGGCTTGGTGATGTTCTCAAAGATCGATTTGAAGTCCGGGTATCACCAGATCAAGATGCAACCAGAGGACACTCACAAGTCGGTTTTCAGAACTCATGAGGGATACTATGAGTTCTTGGTGATGCCTTTTGGCCTCTCACTAATGCCCCTGCCACTTTCCAATCAGTCTTGAATAATGTGTTGAAGCCTTATCTTCATAGGTTTGCTCTAGTTTTCTTTGATGACATCCTTATCTATAGCAAGTCAAAGAGGAGCACTTAAGGATTGTGTTGGGAACCTTGAAGAAGTGCTCTTTTGCGCAGCAAAAGGGTGGAGTACTTGAGACATATAGTGTCTCAAGTTGGGGTGTCAGCGGATCCAACCAAGATAGAGGCAATGGTGGAGTGCCTAGCGCCTTAAACCCTGAAGAGGCTAAGGGGATTATTGGGACTCACAGGATATTACAAGAGGTTTGTGAAGGGATACACCTCTATAGCCCGGACGTTGAAAGAGCAGCTGAATAAGGATCATTTTAAATGGGGGCATGTAGCCACTCAGGCATTCGAGCAGCTGAAG